TTAGATGAATCAGGTGTGCTAGTTCAGGGTTACAACAAAATTGAAAACGACTCTCAGAGGAGAGGTTTGAGAACCACTAATGAACATACTGTATTTGCAGCTTAAAAGCGCCAGCTTGGTTAATTTTTTTACTCCAAATTGGTAATGATTGCAAAGAGACAAGGTCTTTCAAGCAGTAACACCTTTTCTATTATTAAAGAGATTCTCCGGTACTTTTGTACAAGTTTTAGCCAGTCGTTTTGAAAGTAGCGCTCGCGAAGAATTTGTAATACGTCACATACAGTTGTTTTTGTAATACGTCACTATAACAGTCTGCAGCCCCTAAGATTTCTTCACATTTTATTGTGTTACAAAGTGGGATTAAAATGGATTTTATTGTACATTTTGAAAAGCATTTACACAAAATAATCTGTAAAGTCAAAGTGGAATAAAACATCTAACATTTTTTAACGATTAATGAAAAATAAAACGCTAATATACTAGGATTAGATAATAATTCAACCCAAGTCAATTCATGTTAGAAACACCTTTGGCAGCGATTATGATGAAGATTGTTTAGTAAACTATGAGATAAACAGAGTTAATCATGAACATGGAGTCAGAATTAGACATGGGTGTTCTCTGATGCTGGGTGGGAACTTGATTCGTTCCTTTCACTGTGTTTGTGTGTGTGAAATAGGGATCTGACCTAATCCATGGCTGTCCTACCTAATCAGGGACTGAAACCAGACTGTGGCCATTTGCCTATCTCCTCAAAAAAAGTAGAGAGAGCGACGCCAGAGTTGAACATTGTTTAGACTAATCATGAGTAATTGCAGCATGACGGGAGGGAAGAGAGGAGTGGGTTTGGGTACGTTTGAAAGATTGAGTGTGGACCTGTCATGTCCAACAATCAATCTTCAGGTCAAGCCAGGATGAGCCGGGGTTGAACAGAGTTTTAACTGAACATTATTAGTTTTGCATGATAAGGCTTGATTGATTATACTATTATTGATTCTAAACTGAATAAAAGTCGAATTTAGCCACTATCATAGACTAAGGAAGTGGGCGGAGCTGTAGAGAGAGGGAAACTGAGGATGGTGGTGGGGTAACCCAAGTGGGAGGGGTTTAAGCTAAGATGTATGTGAATATGACTATATAAACGGAGATCTGAGAGGTAGACGGGAGGTGCTCTGCAGACCAGCTTGGCTTCCGTTACTCTGTGTAATAAAGTCTATCTTGAATCTACAAAAACTCTGGAAGAACTTTGATTTTTAATAAGTATAGTGATAATTTTCCACATCCATTACAGCTGTGACTCTTCTTGGGTTAGTCTCATAAGAGCTTTGCAAACCTGTATTGTGCAATATTTGCCCATTATTGTTTTCAAAATTCTTCAAACTCTGTCAAGTTGTTAGGTCACGGCTAGACAGCAATTGACAAGTCCTGCATTAGATTTTCAAGCAGATTTAAGTCAAAACTGTAACTTGACCACTCAGGAACATTCACTGTCTTCCTGGTAAGCAACTCCAGCGTAAATTTGGCTTTGTGTTGTAGGTTATTGTCCTGCTGAAAGTTAAATTCCTCTCCCAGTGTCTGGTGTAAAGCAGACTGAAGTAGGTTTTCCTCTAGGTTTATGCCTTTGCTTAGCTCCATCCCATTTATTTTCATCCTGAAAAACTCCCCAGTCTTTGCCGATGTCAAGCATACCCATACCATGACGCAGCCCCCACAACGCTCGAAAACAAGAAAGCAGTCACTCAGTGATGTGTTGTATTTGGCCCAAACATAAGTCTTTGCATATAGGCCAAAGCATGTATTCAAATATTTATATTTTGTATTATTACTTTAGTGCGTTGTTGCATACATATGCATGTTTTGGAATATTTATGTTCATTATCCACAGCTTAGAGATATAAGAAAGATCAGGAAACTATTTAGATTTTTTTTTACATGTGTATATAACCCTTTTTTTTAGGCACTACAATATCTACATATACACTGAGTGTACAAAACATTAAGAACACCTGCTCTTTCCATGACATAGACTGACCAGGTGAATCCAGGTGAAAACTATGATGCCTTACTGACGTCACTTGTATACAGTATATCAAGAATGGTCCACCACTCAAATGACATCCAGCCAACTTGACACAACTGTGGGAATTATTGTAGTCAACATGGGCCAGCATCTCTGTGGAATTCTTTTGACACCTTGTAGAGTGCATGCCCTGACGAATTGAGGCTGTTCTGACGGCAAAAGGAGGGGTGGGGTGGTTTTCCTAATGTTTGGTATACTCAGTGTGTACTTCCATAAACATTTTTTAACTGGTACTGGGGACCTTCAGACGAGGCTTGTGAGGCTTGTGGGTGTCCTAGAGCAATAAAAAACGACATGTATGTATTCATGAGACACTCACCTTTCCATATTAGTGTGTATCCCAAACTGTTCAGACGCTACAGATAGAAGTTGGCAGAAGAGGCTGTACCGACTTCATAAGTGTCGAGTGACGCTTGTGGGGTTTCTTTCACCATTGTGTTCGTGATCATCTTTCCACAGAGGGGTCCTAATAGTTTGTAGGCCAAACCATTCGGAATCTACAGACATTTCTGTGAGAAGACGGATTTTCGGGATGTATCATGGTCCGTCAAAAACCAATCTGCCATATGGGCGGATGCGGTTTATTGAGATACAGCCCATGCAAAAAAAAAAAAGATATCTCTAGCTTAATTCTTAAGAGTCTAAGCCGTTGGCGAAGGTTGGGGGTACTAAGCAGAGATATGGAAGTGTTTTAAAATGGTCATACCATGGATGATTTAGCTATTTGATTTTGAATTTTAGGACCCCGTTAGCTTTAAAAAAATATTATTATTTGATAAAACATTGAAATTGGCCTTTAATACTATAGCCCATAGGAACATACTGAATAAAAGATTCATAAATAAATAAATAAAAATAATAATAAGGTTTTGAAGTGTCTGTCCTATATCTAGAATATATAAGTAAGCGTAGGATATACAGTCCCAGTCAAAAGTTTGGACACACCTACTCATTCCACGGTTTTTCTTTATTTTTACTATTTTCTAGCATGTAGAATAATAGTGAAGACATCATAACTATGAAATAACACATATGGAATCATGTAGTAACCAAAAAAGTTTTAAACAAATCAAAATAGATTTTATATTTGAGATTCTTCAAAGTAGCCACCCTTTGCCTTGATGACAGCTTTGCACACTCTTGGCATTCTCTCAACCAGCTTCATGAGGTAGTCACCTGGAATGCATTTCAATTAACAGGTGTGGCTTGTTAAAAGTTAATTGGTGGAATTTATTTAATTCTTAATGTGTTTGAGCCAATCAGTTGTGTTGTGACAAGGTATGGGTGGTATACAGAAGATAGCCCTATTTGGTAAAAGACCAAGTCCAAATTATGGCAAAAACAGATCAAATAAGAGAAACGACATTTAACACCATCATCATTAAAGCATGAAGGTCAGTAAATCCGGAAAATGTTGTAGTGTATTGAGATTATGATGGTGTTAAATGTCTTTTTGAGTGAAACTGAAAGAATGTTGATTTTGGTATCAAGAGGGAATGTTTTAGTGTAACGCCACATACAACAGACAGGAAGTGTGTTGTAGACACGGGGATTGGACAGTAGAGGGAGCCACCCACATCTTGGGAGGTTATATATACTGGGGGAACAACGACGAAGGGGCAGAAAGCATTGAGATTTATTTGGGACTGCTTCTCCAGATCTCCGCGGGTCTGTTAACTTATGCTGTAACCACGTGATTTTAATAAAAGCCTTTGAACACGGTGCAGCCTAAGCAGACTCCTTGATTGACGGCAACAACTGCAAATAACCGACACTACAATGTCAAGAACTTTGAAAGTTTCTCCAAGTGCAGTCACAAAAACCATCAAGCGCTATGGTGAAGCTGGCTCTCATGAGGACTGCCACAGGAAAGGAAGACCCAGAGTTACCTCTGCTGCAGAGGATAAGTTCATTAGAGTTACCAGCCTCAGAAATTGCAGCCCAAATAAATGCTTCACAGAGTTCAAGTAACAGCCACATCTCACCCTCAACTGTTCAGAGGAGACTGCGTGAATCAGGCATTCATGGTCGAATTGCTGCAAAGAAACCACTACTGAAGGACACCAATAAGAAGAAGAGACCTGCTTCGGCCATGAAACATTAGACTTTGTGAGACGCGGTGTGGGTGAACGGATTATCTCTGCATGTGTAGTTCCCACCGTAAAGCATGGAGGAGGATGTGTTATGGTGTGGGGATGCTTTGCTGGTGACACTGCCTGTAATTTATTTAGAATTCAAGGCACACTTAACCAGCATGGCTACCACAGCATTCTGCATCGATACGCCATCCCATCTGGTTTGGGCTTAGTGGGTCTATCATTTGTTTTTCAACAGGACAATGACCCAACACACCTGTGTAAGGGCTATTTTACCAAGAAGGAGAGTGATGGAGTGCTGCATCAGATGACCTGGCCTCCACAATCCCCCAACCTCAACCCATTTGATATGGTTTGGGATGAGTCGGACGGCAGAGTGAAGGAAAAGCAGCCAACAAGTGCTCAGCATATGTGGGAACTCCTTCAAGACTGTGCGAAAAGCATTCAAGGTGAAGCTGGTTGAGAGAATGCCAAGAGTGTGCAAAGCTGTCATCAAGGCAAAGAGTAGCTACTTTGAAGAATCTCAAATCTCAAATATATTTTCATTTGTCTAACACTTTTTTGGTTACTACATGATTCCATATGTGTTATTTCATAGTTTTGATGTTTTCACTATTATTCTACAATATAACAATTAGTAAAAATTAATAAAAACCCTTGAATGAGTACGTGTGTCCAAACTTTTGACTGGTACTGTGTATTTGCTAGATCAATCTTTAAAGGAGAAATCAGCTGAACATGTCCTTATACTTGAAAAAGCAGGAAGCCCCGGAATGTGCTGCGGTTGAATTGGTCAGCATAGACGTGTGAATGAATATGCAGAGTCATGTAGACATGGTCTCCCTTCTCAAGGTGTAATTACCCGAACTGTCAGTATGATCATAGTCTGTATCTGTGTAATGATCACACGCAGACAACACACGTCTACAATCCTTAAAAAGACTTGTGCAAGACGGATGCACATTATGAGCGAATGATGAGAAGCTGAAGTAGTAGAATCCTCTCACTGGCGCATCGAAGACACCTGTATCAGAGATGAGAGAGGGAGAGCTCTGTCAGAAAAATACTATAATCCCTTACAATGCCTTGTGGTACTTTTATTGTGCACTCTAACACTTGCTAAAAGCTGTCATAACAACTCATATGTAGTCATAACATTCTTATAATACATCACAATGATGCATTATAATGCAAGTGTTATAAGGCACTATAAGTGTAGCATAAGGCCTTATAAATGCACTTATAAGGCACATGAGTGCGTCATGTTAAGTTTTAACATAATTCTTTCCAACTCTTTACCTAAAACTGGGTTGTAGCCATTGCCAACATTTGTCAGGACGTTGCTGAATTTCCGGATGGTTTCTGTGTTGAAGAAAAATGGCCTTGCCCATCAAGTGCTGCTGTAAATGCCAGCTTTGGTCTGTCTATAGGAAATACATGTAATTTCCCAATTAAATCACCAGGGGTGACATTTTCTTGGTGCAAAACAGCACAGATCTGTGAAGAAGAAAAAATAAACGTAATCCTTTTTACAATCTGGCAGATTGATTTCATTTCAAACTTTTCTTAAACAACGTGCATTATAAGGAGTCAACTATTTACGTATTGCTCAGTTTACTGAACTCAAGTTAAATAATAGCCTGTTGAACATTGTTGAAGAAACGTTTGAATTAAATCACACTTCCAGATTACAATGAGTTTTACAATATTTTTTGCACAGACAAAGCTATTTTACTCCACAGAAATGTTGCCTGAGATGTTTACAGCTTTTTGTGTACCTTCAATCTCTCTCTTCAGTTCGCCGAGCAGGATTTGCTTTTCCTCCACTCTGAACTCAGTGGCGTTGGCTCTAAATGTCAAAGCTTGAAGCTTCCTCTCCTGAACTGGAAAACAGGAATATGAACGAATATGCAATAACATAGGTATCTTAGCAGATATTTTTACCTGCGTTTTATATATTGTATTACGTCTGATTGCATGTATGTTTCTGCACCAAGATGTTAAAGTAAACCTTAACCCAAACAACAATACTAAATCTGGGCCTAGGGGTGATGATGATTATGGCACAAAAACACAGAACGCAAATCACCTTCATAATCAGTCTTCATCTTCTCCATTAAGCTCTCACTGGTGCTCAGTCTGGTCTCCATGGCTGTCAGCTGGGCTCCTTGGGCTATGACAATACATAATATGGCATTCTGTATGGTAGCAACTGTTGAGTCTTGAATTCAAATAGCTAAATTAATAACACATGGGGAAACAACAACAACAACATCAAGGCAGTTAAAATTGACATTTCGTCGGCTTACGGGCTTTGTGGCTCTCAAAAACAAACAGATTATCATTCTGAACACTTGACTATATTAGAAATAGAAATATATTTATTTAAGTATTTGATTTAGATTATCTTTGTTCTCTCTCTGTAGGAGAGCAACAGTAGTCTCCATGTTCCTTAGTTCTTCCACATGGTTCTCTGCAGCAGTCAGTCTGGCCTTCATAGCACCCATTTCCATCAGAAGCTCACACATGTCTGGCTGGCAGCTTCTGTCTCTCTCAGCTAGGACTGGAGCTTGGATCTCTGTGAGAATAACTTAATTGTCTATGTCCTGTCTCTGTTCAGAGTGTTGGTTGTGAGTCTTGTATTCATTATCTATGTCCTGTCCCTGTTCAGGCTGAATCTGTACCATGATGTCATTCAGGTTGTCTTCTCCAGCATCTTCACTGAGAGTCCCAGACAGACACAGCAGCAGCAGGGTCAGAGTCAGTCCCCCCATTCTCACATAATCTCTCAGCTACCTGTGTAGCTCCAGGTCCTGTCTCTTTCTTTTATACACATTTTCGTGTGAAACATTACGTAAAGTAAACATGTCTTTAGGACCCAGGGAGAACAGTGGACCTGTTCAAGGACTCAGATAAAACCAGGAGCACTATTTAATCAGAGTATTCTTAGGCAGCGTCTATAGTCTTTGAACCCATAACCCTGAGGTTGCTATCACCATGCCGTTACCAACAGAGCCACACAGGATCCAATGGAGAGTGTGTAAAAAGAGAATGTGTTACTGTGGGTTCACCTGAGGTTATGTGTGTCCTTTTGTGTTCACAGATGGCAATTCCCAGACAAACACATCATGAGCTAAACAAGGAATGGGTACAAACTAACTGTCTTAAAATATATCTTTCATGTACAAGTTGTTTGAAGAACTGTTTACCAGTGCATATTTTGCATGAAAAAGGCTTCCATCAGGCCAGATTTGGTGCTACATATACCTGTTGTTATTAACTGATCTGTACCATTTTACCAACAACAAACATCCATGTATAACGTTTTATAGCAGTCAATGTTTTATTAATACAATGGTATAAAATCACCACCTTCATGTATTATTAGACTGAAACAGAGATTTTTTAGTTGCTTACTATTTTAATATAATTTGTTGTTTGAACATAATATACAGATCAAATCATCCCGATAGTTGTAATATAAAATGAATAAGCTTTAGTAGTAGATCTGTCTGTCTCAGTTATCGGTCCGTGCTATCATGAATCTTTGGGAAGTCCCTACTCCATTGAAGTTGAAATGTAAAATGGTTTTGGTAAGGGTTAGGGTTAGGTAAGGGTTAGGGTAAGGACGTACCAAGGATCCCGGATAGCACTGACCCTGAGTTATCATAGCTGAGGTTATGATTAAAGCCAGATTATGGGTATGAAAAAGGCTATTGCAGAGAAGCTGTATATTAAATAATGATTGGATCTGTTGTTTATGCACCTCACACAATCACTGAGTAGTCTCAGCTGTCTATGGAAGAGTCCTCTAGCGCAGGAATGAATGAGATGACGTCACTCAGTTTGTCCAGGCTCCTACTTTGTCATTTTTATCACACCACCAAAGTAAATGAACCATTTATATGAACAGGTCTAAACATATCAGAAAACATTTGGAACTGTTATGCATCCGTTTTTATATTGTGTTTCATTCAAACAGTTTGCTAGCTGCCTAGCAGTACTAACTATAGCTGCTAGCTGTGGTACAGTAGCATTGCCTTGTAAGGTTTGGGAATTGTCTTTGATTAATAGGAATAGGAATAGGAATCCAAAGATAGGCTATCCAACTCTACTTCTGAGTGATTTTGTGGGGGAAATATTATAGTCTTGTTGAAATGTCACATATTTTAACAAGTTTTGCATCACAAGTGATATCAATCCAAGACCCATAGGTCATTGTTGCAGCAAAAGTAGGGCTTCACCTGGCAGATAGAGTCAACTGTGAGGTCAGCAGAATGCTGAGAAACATGCCGGGGCAGCGCCATCTAGTGGTCTCTGTGAAGAGAACAGGCTCAGAGTCATTGGGATTGCATTGTCACCACATATTCATCAAATTTGTCTTCAATTTCTATGGTTGATAGAAAATATCTGAACAATAATTTTCCACTGTTTCCATGGTGTCTAAATTTTTTAAATGTGTATAAATTGAAGTTCTATGGTTGACAAGAATTATATATTTTTTATCAATTTCTCTTATTGGCATAGCTTATCAGAGGGCATGATCATATTGTATTTATTTCGCATTAGGGTCTAGGGGAAGGGTTGCTTCTGGATGGGTGCAAGCGTCTTGTGAAAAGTTTCTGATCATCACCAGGTCGGAAAGTATTTAATAAACCAATAAGAAAGAGAGTTCCAGGTGTAGTGAGAGAGAGCTTTCAATTTTGTGTAGATGAGGGATATACATTTTTAAATATAGTATACATCTAATCTAATTTTTCATTGTCCTATCATGATGGAAAGATCCCTAACCCTATAACCTGGACACCCACCTGAGCGACCCATACACCAAAGAGAAGTTCCCATCTCTTTTATGGACCTGCTGTGAGTATGCAGCCTAAACAGATAAATAAATGCGGTCAGAGACCTACTTGAGCAGCACCGCCCCCTCAAGATTCTGAACCTGCCTGGCAGGGTTGGTCCTACAAAGCCAGAGCCCCCTGATGGGAGAGCATTATATACAAGGAAATTCTCAAAGCTGCTAATGAGAACCTTGACGACCTTTTACTTAGCCGGTGGAGATTCCGGTGGGGTACCCCCACCCAGGTAGTGGCAGTGCTGGCAACACTGGCTGCAGTAACCCATGGGGAGGGGGTCACACTCGGACAATCAGAGAGGGGGTTTATCACTGTGGCCCAGGTGGCACAAAATAATCAAAGGTCTGACCGCACGGAGATGCTTGGGAAAATGGTTACAACAGGGGATCAGAGTGTTTGTGTCTCAGGTGAAGAGGGTGGATCTGATCTCCATCACCTAGGACTTGACATAGATTAAGTAGATTAATCAAATCTCACATTGTTATCAATTTCTGCTCAATCTGCATGCTTTCTCAATCAGCTTTAACTGTATGTGCACTCGTAAATCAGGTTATTTCTCGAGTTGGGCTCTGGGATATGACAGCCGTTGAGTATCTGATTTTATGGTGGATTGTGGAGGAGGGGGGTTGAGTGTGTTGGAGTATGTGAGTATGTGCGTGTGTGCTTGTCTGTCATCTGTTGTGGGGGGGTGGGGATGTTGGGGGGGAGGGGGGGGGGGGGGGGGGAGGGGGCGGTATGGGATGTACCACAGGAATTATTTGCTGGGATAATAATTGCTTGTCAATGAATTAAATGTAATACAATGGCAATCCGGGTTATATGTTAGAATCCTACGTGTGAACTGCCAACATTATTACGCATATTAATTGATAATGATGGAAAATAGGATATGCATAATTTTTTTGAAATAGTTATATAGATATATATATAGAGGTGAAAGCATTGGAAATGCTTTTGCCGGTTATTCTGCTTCTGTTTTGTGGGTGGCACTGTGTGCTCTTTTCGATGGATGGGTCCTGGCCTCTCGGGGCCTTAGGGATCCGGAGGGACGTGGGTGGGATGCTGATCACTGGGATGACGGCTCAACTTGGGATGGGGAGGGGCTTTAGCGGGGGAATTAGTGGAGAACAATTGAAGGGTTACTACGTAACAATGCAAATATCACGGTACAGATATATGGACACTCAATCATTACGGTATTTTTATTGGTAAATTTACAAACATATATAAAGATAAATAGACTTGAAACTTATCTCATTATGGTGTATGGTGAAATAAGTATAGCCAGTTATAATTGTAATGGCTTAGCTGATAATAACAAAAGAAGAACAATATTTACATGGCTCAAAGAGAAGGAATATAATATCTATTGTATACAGGAAACTCATTCAACAATTCGAGATGAAGTAGCATGGAAAAAAGAATGGGGGGGGGGGGGGGGGAATATACTTCTCCCATGGGCAAAGAAATTCAAAAGGGGTGATGATATTAATTAATAGTAATTTCGATCCGAATGTGCAAATTGTCCAAATAGATACGCAAGGTAGATGGATTATTTTAAATATGTTATTGGACCATAAACAGATATGGCTCATTAACCTTTACGGACCAAATAATGATGATCCACAATTCTTTGACAATATATATAATAAATTATCAACCCTGCAAGCAATTCAAGACAATATTATTATGGTGGGGGATTATAATACTGTTTTAAATAGCTCAATGGACCGTAAAGGAAATCACACCACAAACAATCACCCACATGCTCTTAAGGAAATTGTGAATGTCATGGATACATTAGAACTAGTAGATATATGGAGGCTTAAATATACTGATCTAGTGAGATATACATGGCGGAGACTGAATCAAGCTAGTCGTCTTGACTTCTTTCTTATCTCATTCTCGTTGGCACCAAAAGTTTAAAAAAGTGTTGATAGGGGACAGAATGAGGTCGGACCATCATATAATAGGCATATACATTACTCTTACTGAATTTCCACGTGGGCGAGGATATTGGAAATGTAATCAAAGCCTATTGGATGATAATTTATTTATAATTAGAACAAAGGAATTCATTACTGACTTTTTCCAACATAACATAGGTACAGCGAATCCCCTTACTGTATGGGACACCTTTAAATGTGCCTTTAGAGGCCATGCAATTCAGTACTCATCTCGAAAACAAAAGCAATTTAGGTCAAAAGAGTTTATACTAAGAAAGGAAATAGAAAGTCTAACAGAACCGATAGATGGCAATAAAAACTGTAACATAGAGGCTCAGAATAAATTAGAGGAAAAACAAAAAGAAATGGAGAAACTTATTCAAGAAAGATCAAGTGTAATATATTATAAAAATAAAGCAAACTGGATGGAATATCGGGAAAAATGCACAAAATTATTTTTTAATCTTCAACATAGGAATGCTACCAAAAAGAACTTAATGAAACTGGTTACAATTGACGGAGTCACCCATAATTCACCTAATTATATTTTGAAGGAAGAAACAAAGTACTTTAAGCATATGTTTTCTTTTCAGTCGCCTCCATCTCCTCTAACTGAAGCAAATTGTAGAGATTTTTTTTCCATTGATAATGTCAAATTAACAGCCACACAGAAAGACTCATGTGAAGGTGAAATTACAGAGGAGGAACTTCTGGATGCAATTAAAGACTTTGTCTGGGAAAACTCCAGGGTTGGATGGCATACCAGTCGAGGTATACCAAACCTTTTTTGATATACTAAGAGGACCGTTATTAGCATGTTTTAACCACTCCTATGTAAATGGTAGATTATCTGACACTCAAGAAGAAGGTCTGATCTCATTATTACTGAAACAGGAAAATATAAAGATCCAGTCCATTTACAAAATTGGAGGCCCCTTACACTTCAGTGTTGTGATGCAAAAATTCTAGCAA